TTTTTCCTCATGAATGACTGACAGAATTTCATAGTGAGAAAAATTAGGGCTTATAACTTCTTTTGACACTAAAGAAAGATCTAAAAGGATCAAGCCAGCACGGAGGGGGAAAAAAACAACAACAGGGGGGAAACAGAGATAAAAATAAGATTCACAGTTTCATCTGAAGTTTAGTATTCCAAGGAAGCCATATGCTGGCAAAATAAAACTAAATATTTTAAATTGTGACTATGTGGCTGTGTTCATTTAGAAAATTCTCTGATCACTAGTAAGCAGACTTTCAGGGCTTGTTTTCTAGCTGTAGCTCTGGCTAAGTAATCGTTAAAAATTTTTTTTAAAACCCATAATCGCAATTCGCTACAATTTTTTCATTTCATGGAGCTAGATCTTGAAATGACAGACTGACACGGAATAGAGGGAAAAATATAAGCATATATTTTGAAAACGGTTTGAATCCAAATCTAAGAGCCTCCTACAGTCCATTCCCCCTCCCCCCAAAAAAAGAGAAAATAAACAACTTGGGAAGAATTTATCTGGCTAACAAACACATTCTTAACTATTAACCCTGAAACCTTTTGACATTTTAGCTTTGCCATGGCACAGTTCCATATTTGAATTCATTTTCTTTTTTCAATTTCAGTACACCTGTAAACGAATCTTAACCTTTCCCCTTTTTTGTCTTTTTCCTTCTTTTTCAGTTTGCCATACGATGCTCTCTGAGTGAAGGAATTCTTCGTAGCTCCTCTTGCCACAGTCCTTCATCGTGTATAACGGTATGAGTGTTCCCCTCATTTCACACCTGACTTCCCGTCAATCTTTACTTCTCTGGCTCTTCACTTCCCTTCACAACCTCCTCCCGCATTTCCTTAGAATAAATGTAACGTAAAGTTTTGCTTTGAGTTTGAGTGGCTGAGAGAGAAGAATGAGAGCAAACTCTAAGGATTCACACTGCTATACTGAGAAATATGGAGACTAGGAGTGCTGATTTCACTTGACGCCAACTGTAACAGGCGGCTGATGACTATATCCCTGGCTTTGGAAGTCTCAAGGTTCTTTTCTATCGACACTTGAAGACTAATTTGGTCTACACTTGTCATGATGAGTTCAGATGCCAGAATCTGGGTAGGTGAATTATCATGAAACTCATTGTCCATGAAGTATTGCTTATATAATTCCACCAACTTCTGCTCCAGGTACTCATTCAACATGGCATTCGAAATCGGCTTCTGCATCTGCAGGCTGCTTTTTTCTTTGAAGCTGGTTATTCTCCAGTAGGATGAGTAGCGCTGGATGGGTTTCTGAGGAAAGTCATTGGGCTGAGTGGAAATGGAATCCTCCATGGGCAAAGGAATCTCGGATGACTTGAGCAAAGGGCCGTATTCGAAACTGCCCTCGGAGGGGAAATCCGTTGTCACGGAATTAATGGCCATCACCTGGCCCCCTGCAATATGTAAGTCATTGTAATTCTTGCAAATGCTTTGGCAGGAAGATGGCACCAAGTAGGTATCTCGGCTGGTACTGTGGTCTCTGCAAATTTCGACTGTGGTCAAGGTTGGCCTTTGAAACACAGGGTTGGGGTTCGTCTGCAGCACTGTGACTCTCTGGTTTCGGCTGCACTGGCTCTCTCTTGAATGCGCTGAAGACACAAACCTGCCAGTTGATTTGCAGCTCACATAGAGACTTCGGACCTCTGTTTTGTCCACAGAAGAGTAAGAAAGGACAGCATCAGCCCTGGACTCCTCTTCCTTTTCTTCAGCCTCGTGTTCGTCTTGAGATGGACAATTCCAGTAGATGTCATTTCCATAAGTAAGACCACTGAGATACCCTTCTGACAGCATTCTGAAAAGAGAATGAATAAGGAACAGTAGGGAGAATATGATTAGAGTTTTCAAAGTCAACAGTTGGCATATCAATAAAAGATAAAGGCAGTGAAGGATACCATTTCATTCATTCACTAATAATTTAGTGCCTGCTACCAACAACAAACACATGTGCCAGAACTATGTGGTATGAAGCTCCATCTCACATAATGTGGGCACAGGGCCAGGGGGGACTGACTGGTCCTTGGAGAAGAACATCACTCTCAGCAGGGTGGAGGAATAATACAAGAGAGGAAGACCCCGGATGAGATGGAGTGATACAGTACGTGGGGCAATGGGGGCAGGTGTGTCAGAGTCAGTGGGACCAACTCAGGACAGGGCAGGTTTCAGAGCTGTTGTACATAGGGTCACTATGACTCACAGGTGACTCGACAGCACATAACAACAACAACAACAACAACAATGTGGTGTGGTGTTGTATGAAGATGACTAGGATTCAAGTCTATCCTTGAGGGACTTTCCCACAATGGGGAGAAAAGAAACTTGATACAATTTCATTTTTGTATATTTATACAGAATTTCATTTTGCAATATCATGTGCTTGAGAGTTATGATAGTAATGGGCACAAAGAAATAGGGCCTGATAACTCAGACTAGGATAGAGGGGGAGGAGATGTCAGAGGATGTGTTATAGAGGACATAACAATTCAGCTGCATTAAGAGTGAGTAGACATTTCAAACATAGGTCTAGAGTTATAAAATAATAAAGAGATGGGAGATTTGGTGATGAGGAATCTGGCAACAATTATGGATGTTGTTTTATAGTATGAGTGCAGTAATTGACATCACTCCAGAGTACTGAAGAGCAATGAAGTCAGTCCGGAGACTAAAGTGCACTTATACAGGCCCTAGTCTTAGCAATTACTTGCTATGCACCTGAGAGCTGGACAGTGACTAAATATGCTAGAAGGAGAATGGATGCCTTTGAGCTGTGGTGTTGGAGAAGGGTATTGCGTATACCATGGACTGCTAGGAGAACAAACTGGTCCATCCTGGGGAGGGTGAACCAGACTGCTCCTTGGAGGCAAGGATCTTGAAGCTCCATTGGGTTTACAGAGGCTGTGAATCACATGGGAGGAGCCTACCCTTCTCAAGAGGTCCCTGACAGCAGATATTCCCAATGCAATTCATCTTTTGATTTCCTGGCTGCTGGCACCAAGAGTGCTGATTGTCGAGCCAAGCAAGTTGAAGTTGTTAATAATCTGAATTTCTTCACCATCTATCATGATGCTGCCAGAAGTACCTCAGAAGAAAGTCCTGGCTATCTAGTTCTAAAAAAAAACCAACAAAACAAAACAAACCAAAAAAAAAAACCCACAACCCAATCCTTGAAAACTCTACAAAGCACAGTTCTACTGTGACACACACGGAGTCTCCGGTGGAGGAGCTCAAACTTATATACTCATTACAGTTGAGTTGGTTCTAACTCACAGCTGACCCTCCACTAGATTTCTGAGGCTCTGAATCACATAGAAGGAGGCTGCCTACATTTTATTTCTCCCTGAGATCATTTCAATCGCCAGACATGTGTGGCCTTTGGGTTAGCAGTGCAACTCTCTAGGGAGATTGAGATTCAATTCCCAGTCAAAACACCTCATGTGCAGTCACTGCCCCGAATATGAGCGGAGGCTTGCATGTTACTAGGATGCTGGACAGGTTTCAGTGGGGCTTCCAGACAAAGACAGACTAGGAAGAAAGGCCTGGTGATCTATTTCTGAAAAGCAGCCTATGAAAACCCTATGGAACATAACTGTCCAAGACGAAGAGAGATGAATTGAAGAGACCAACTATCCTGGGCATGAAAGTGAAGGAGAGAGAGTCGAGATTAAACCTGTGCCTGCCAACGTAAGCATGTGGGGAAGCAACATTAGCAATTACAGACATGGGGAAGTCTGGACGAGGAGCCCGGAAGGGAGCTGACATGTTTTGTTTCATTCCTCTTGAGTCTGACCTTCCTCCAAATGCCTGACAGTCAGGAGGCGTTTCAGGCTGAGAACTCAGTAGAGCAGCTACTAAAAAGTCAGCATTGAAACTCTCTCCTAGTGGGGGCAGTGGGAGCTTGAGTGGCCTGTAAAAGTCAGCAATACCTGTGCGATAGGCCTGCCTTTAGCAAGACAGCAGCAAAGGCTTCTGTATCACATAGCTTTGCAAAGACTTTGTTGTTGTTCCTGTTCTTGTTGTCATTGCTAGGTGCCGCCAAGTCAAGTATGACTCATAGTGACCCTATGAACAACAGATCTGAATCCCGTCTTGTCCTGTGCCACCCCTATTATCCTCAACATACTTGAGCTTCAGATGTCCTGGAAAGACCACATTTTAAAGCTCTACATTTGAAGGTAAAATTTAATGATGCATTTAGAGTGAATGAGGCCAAAGAAGGCGGGGGGGTCGGGGGCAGGGGGAGAATCTTTTACTGGTTGTCAAGAGACATAGTTCAAGTTCTGATCTTGTCACCTTGTCAGTGTAGTTTGTGACCCAAACCAAAACCAGTCCCACTGCCATCGAGTTGAATCCTTGAATGACAGAGTAGGGCTGCCCCACAGAGTTTCCAAGGCTGTGAGTCTTTACAGAAGCAGACTGCCTCGTCTTTCTCCTATGGAGAAGCTGATAAGTTCAAACTGCCAACCTGGGGGTTATGGTAGCTGAGCTCTTTAACCGCTACACCACGAGGTCTCTTTGTCATTTGTGACAAGTCTATAATAATAGCTAACACTGAGGTAGTACAAGCTACATCCCAGGTACTATTACAAGTGCTTTTTATGTACTAAATCAATCTATTTCCACCAAGGTTTTAAGATGGAGGTAGTGGCATCCACTTCCTAAACAACCTGCCTCCAGAAACTCTGTGAACCTTGATAAATGTCGATAGTTGTACAGGGGCTTCAGGCCTTTTGGTCATAGGGTCGCTATGAGTTGTGCTTGACTCGAAGGCAATCAGCAACAACTAGCCTTTTGCTCATTTCATAAAATACAAAACTGAGTAAAATTAAGCATTCCAACACTGGAAGTCTGAAACTCGAATCCATGCTCACATGTTGCTTAACCTCTCAGAAATGCAACTTCTCATCAGTAAAATGAGAACCCGGGCATATGAGTCCCCTCAAACTTTAATACTATTGTTGTTGTTTTTACGTGACATCAAGTCGACTATGACTCATAGTGATCCAATGTACAACAGCTCTGAACTCAGCTTTATCCAGAGCCCATGTCATTGTCTCTGACACACCTACCCCCATTTCCCCAGTCACTGAATCAATCCATCTCATCCAGGGTCTTCTTCTCTTGCACTGTCCCTCCACCCTCCCAAACATGACCTCCCTCTCCAAGGACTGGTCCCTCCTTGCAACATGCCCAAAGTATGTCAGACGGAGCTTCAGAATCCTTGCCTTCAAAAAGCAGCCTGGTTTCACCCTCTCAGGCTGAACCTGTTTGTTCTCCTGGTATGTTCAGGAAAGAAAGAGTTCCTCAATCAAAATTAGTTCCTGAAAATTCGCAGCAGAGGGCAGCAGAGAGCACACTAAGAAGGCAACTTTTGAAAGCTCTGAAACTCTGCAGTCATGATGAATAAAACTTACAAAAATTATACATATATTAACACATTCAATCTTCAGCAAAACTATGTAATACACCATTACATCAAATCAATGCTACACATCACAACATTTTAAAATTTAAGATGAGAGAACTAGGGAAAGATTATTTGGGTTTATTCTGATTAATTATTTTTTTCCCCCTTAATAATTCTGGGATTATCTGGGAAATTCTTAGGAAGCACCACAAGATCTATTCAGAGTGTTATAAAAATATTTCAAACAAATGTTAGTTATTTATCTTTTATTCATAGACCTCTTTCATTCATCTGAGCTACTAAACCCAATACATTATTTTAATTGTCCAAACATATCTTATTACTTGAATTTCGGTTTCTCACCTCAAAGAAGCTACATATATCTATAATTCTCCATGACCAGTTACGTGTGAAGGAATAGACGCCCAAAGGCATTTGCAGATGGCATGCTCTAGGCAAATTTGGCCTACATTAATTACTAGACAGGGTGCAAATTCACGACTTAGAAATATGTGCTAAAGTGCAGCATTTTGTGAAATAATTTACTTGATGTTCAGAAGAAATTGCAATATAAAGATCTTCCTTCCAGATGTCTCAGAAGACGGTTGTAATAACTTCTGTATATAGACTTCTCATGTCTACTAAAACCCCCACAAGTATGGAATAAAAACGGAAGCCTAAAGAGAGAATAGTTTTACAAGAGAAAACAGTTGGGGGGGGGCAGGAAATCCTAAGTTAGGGGTTGGTTTTCCCGTAAAGAGCCAGATAAATAGATAGTTAAGTCAAAAAAGCAAATGCAATACGTTGGATAGACCATCATTTAACATCATCATCTTGTTGTTAGGTGCCATCAAGTCAAATGTGACTCATAGCACCATGCTGTGGTTCTTGTGTCAGAACTACAGAACCTCCATCAGAACTGACCCATAGCTGACCCTTCAGTGGGTTGTCGGAGGCTGTAAATCTCACTGGAGGAGCTTGCCCATCTTTCTTCCATGGAGCAGTTGTTGAATTCGAACCTTTGCATTGGTAGCACCATTCCTTACCATTAAGCTACCTCATAGCAACTGCTTCTTGGGTGTTACTCATATATTAACTATAGCCTTCCACCACCACTGCACATTAGGCTCTATCCACACATTAAGCTATGACAAATGATCTTCCCAAGCTCACACAACTAGTCCTAGAGGCAAGACTCAAGGCCAAGTTTACAAACCTCCAAGCTTGTCCTCTGTTCTCTACAACACATAACACCACTACACAGTCATGAGAATAAACACATAATCTTTCCAGGAATAGGCCTTCAGCACTGGTTGCATTTAATGACACTTATTCAGCAGCACTTGCCAAATAAAGGTACAGCGAAGTCCAGAGAGAAAGGCCCCAGGAG